CATAGATTTTTTACTAATCCTATAGTTTATTGTTAGCAAGTGATTACTGTGGCGGCTATTGTTAACACTCGTATTGATAAAATTTGCAAGCGATTGTTTTTATAAGGCCATATAAAATAAATTCCTTGATTCTCATCGCGATTTATATTTTATATTTTTTGTCAAAATATAAAAAAAAAGTTTAAAATTTAAAAAATTGGAGAGGGAGGTCTTTTTATATTTGCCCTTAAATATATTATAGAAGAACGCTGTATAAGTGGATAATTGCACATGCGCTAATGAACATGCATAAGGGTCCACACAAATCGTTATAATAAGGCTATAAGCCCATTTTTTCCTTCAGTATTCCAAGCATCCCTTAACATGTCGCAATATTAACGATAAAACAATTTTATATCGCAAAAATTCCAATATAAAATATAAAAACAACGAAATCTCTGAAGATGCTTGGTCGGGCTGTAAATTTATATTTTATAACAAAATACAAAAATATATCAATGCGGAAACCAAAATATCGTCGGGCGGTGATGAGAATCAAGGAATTTATTTTATATGGCCTTACACTTGCAATTTTTATACAGCTGATTGCTCTCAAATGTCTTTGAAAAGTCTTTGAAAATAGGCAGCAAAAATCTTTGAAAGTCTTTGATTTTTTTTGGTCTTGGAGACTACGAACCCTGTAATCTGCAATGCCCCTATATAGTAAAAAAATCCTTCGAGTATACCCTAACATTATGCCAAGTTGTGTGCTTTTATCATCAAATGCACAATTGTTCTATATTTTCACCAATCTGCCCCACTAGATATATAGTTTAGCAGAGTATTAGTCATTTTGAATTTCCGTCATAGTGCAATCATAAAAAATGGTGTGAAATTTCGTTTCAAGGAGAAGGGGGATAATTAGAAAAGCGGGCTTATTGACTATTTAGAGGTCTAAGAGGGAGCTCAATAGAGAGTTGTAACATATTCGAAAGGACCTCTAATTTCACTCCACACAACAACTTTTTTTATAAGTTTTTATTTATATTTGATTTTTCGTCTTATTAAATTTTTACGACCAACAAACGACATAAAATACATAAATACTCATCATTATCCCGCTTTTGCGTTATGCGCGCGCGGAAATTGTTGCTATCAGCACGAATTGTACCCTGGTTCCAGAGGTTTAAAATAAACCTCTGGTTGAAAGCGGCAATCGATTCATCGAGCCGCGCCAATCAGTTTGAATTAGGGTCAGTTCCTGACTCTGTCTCGTGATTGGATGATTGTACTAAAGCTCTCTGATTGGTTATAGATGTTTTATTTGAATCAATCAGAGAGCTTTAATACAATCATCCAATCAGGAGACAGAGTCAGGATCTGACCCTAATTCAAACTGATTGTCAAACTGATTG